GGTTCTCAAAGTAGGTGTTCATGATCCTCTGGATTTCTTTTGGATCTGTTGTGACTTCGCCTTTTTCATTCCTGATTGCATGGATCTGAGCCTTTTCTTTCCTTTTTTTGATAAGATTAGCTAAGGGTTTGTCAATTTTATTTATTCTTTCAAAAAACCAGCTCTTTGTTTCATTTATTTTTTGTATCGTTTTCTTAATTTCAATTGCATTGATTTCTGCTCGGATCTTTATAATTTCCTCTCTTGTTCGAGCTTTGGGTTTTTCTTGCTCTTGTTTTTCTAGGAGTCTAAGTTTCATCGTTAAGTTGTTTATTTGAGCCCGCTCTGTTTTCCTAGTGTGGGCATTCAATGTTATGAATTTTCTACGTAGTACTTTTCTTTATATGTCCATCTGCCCCTCTAATTTTATTTGTTGTTAATGTACCTATACTACCACTGATGAATATAAATATGTAATAAAAATACAAATTAAACAAATTTTTTGTGTTTGTACTGAAGCATTTCATTGCGATGCATGTTTATGGTGGAGAATTTGGAAAACTATAAGAAAAAAAAAAAGCAATAATCCAACGTTTTCTTTTTTTTAGACAAAATCTCAGGCTTACCTGGAACTCACTATGTACATAAGCCCAGGCTGATCTTTTTTTTGTCTTTTGAGACAGGGTCTCCCTATGGAATTAAGGCTGGCTTTGAGCTCACTGTGTACCCCAGACTTGCAGTGATCCTCCTGCCTCAGCCTCTTCAGTGCTGGGATTGCGGGCATGTGTCACCACTCCTGGCTGTAATCCAACTTTGGAGATTTAACCACTCATTGTGACCATATTGTATGCATAAATTTGTCACATTTTATTTATTTGCTTTTTAAGCCTTTAAGGACATTTTATGAATGTATCACAAGCACTATTATAGTATTGAGAATTCAGATTTTTTAACTCTTTTTCTCAACGCTGGTGTTTGAACCCAGGTCTTGCACTGCTTTACCACTGAGCTACATCCCTGGAATTTTAACTTTTGAAATATTTTTGTTGGTTTTATTTTCCATTTCTTACAGCTGTTCCACATTTAAAAAATGCTTTGTTGTTGTTGTTTTTGGTACCGGGGATCGAACTCAGGTCCTTGGGTTTGCAAGGCAGGGCTGGACCACTGAGCTAAATCCCTGGCCCTTAAGAAATTTTTATTAGTACATATTTGCAGTGTATAATTACATTCATTGTGGCTGCTGCAATTTGAGGAACTCAAACTAAATATTCTGAGTCAGATTAGATTTGGCTCCAATGCAAGGAATAAATACTTTGTAAAAGTTTTTGAAGGAATGTAAATGAGAAAATTGAGTTGTCTAATGAGCACAGTTTAGGAAAAATTTAACTTTTTCAAGTCAAACCACATTCTGCCTTGTAGCTGTGATTGTATCCTGAAATTTCAATATTTACATTGTTATAATTCCAGGCAGGGATTTAGCTCAGTGGTTCCACTGCCTGCTTCATGAGTGCAAGGACCCGAGTTGAATCTCCAGTACCAAAAAAAAAAAAAAAGAAAGAAAGAAAGAAAAAAAATATATGTATATAAAGTTCCTTATCTTGATTATCAGATAATTACATTGTCTGATTTAGAATGTGATTACATTAATGCTAGATCATGTTGTTCAAAATTAAACAAGGTAAGATACTTTGCTCATTTCCTGGCTTTGAAGTTCATTCATTTTTCATATTAAAGATTACCATAGCTAATCAATATACAGGTTTTGATTTTACTGCATGTTGATTTTAGGGTGCAAATTAATTGGAATGTTGATAGAACTTCTGTGTTTTGCAATATTTTAGATCATGAAGTTATGCTAGAAGATCTGATTGAAATTTATTGCTCTACTCTGCATATAGTCCTTGTCTACAAAAGACTTCTATTCAGACTAAATGACAGCAGTTTTGTTTTCAGACCACCACCACCAACACCAGTCCTCTCCCTTCCCCTTTCCCTCATGGAAAATGCTCAGTCTGTCTTTTAGAATGAAGGAAAACCTTACTTTTGGGGATAGTGGAAAATGATTTTTTTCAATTTTTTTGAGACAGAGTCTCACTATGTAGTTTAGGCTGGTCTTGAACTCACTGTGAACTTGCAGTGATCATCCTGCATACTGGGTTTACAGATGTGTGCCACGTGGTGAATTTAGTTGATTTTTTTTTTAAAGGCCATTTTGCCTTTGTGTGTGTGTGTATTTTGTGGTGCTAGGGATCGAACTCAGGACCTTGTCCTTGCAAGGCAAGCCACTGAGCTACACCCCCGGCATTTGCCTTTAGTACAGTCAGAACTTTATGTGGAAACCAGTTGTTCCTGGTTCATTTTATGCAGTGAGCAAAGTTTTCTGGATGAAAGTTCATGTAAAAATAAACTGAGAAGTGCTTTTTGGCTTGACCTAAAAATAATTCCCATGTGCCTTTACATCTTACCTTAGTTTTTCTGGCCCATGAAGAAAGAGTTATATTTTGTTTAGAAAACAAAACAAAACTGGAAAGCTAAAATTTCTGGTAACTTATATTCCTCTTCTCTTTTGAAAACAGATTTTTTTTTTTGTACTGGGGATCAAACTCAGGATCTTGTGCTTGTGAGGCAGGTGGCGGCACCACTGAGCTAAATCCCTGGTCCCTGAAGACAGATTTTTTTTTTTAATTGAAAAGATTACTTAATATTTTAGGTGCTTTGTATGTTTTCATTCATAAAAGTAAAGTGTACAAAGAAAGGAGTACCTGTATTCTTCTGCTGGAAAGGTTTCTCCTTAGATTTGAAGTTTGAAGTTGTTTTCCAATCTTAATTTGTATGACAGTTACATGTGAACACAAAGTCAGTGACACTGAAGTTTATAGTGAACAACAGCAGTCCCTTTTTGACCTTTTGAGTGCTGATTGCCTTGCATAATAGGGACAACTGATTTCAATACTTGGGTTATGAGATTTTTTTCCTTGTATTTATATGCCTATTTCTTTCTTATATGCTTACCCTGCTATTTTTTAATCTGTGTTTTAAATATTGTCCATTGACATAGTATGGTAGAAAAGATTTCATTTGTTAGGTACCCCCTTAAGAATCAATCTGCTTTTCTATCCCATCTTTGTCTTTTACTTTTTGGGCTAAATTGATATTCGCTGTCATCGTGGTGTACTGTAAAAATATAAATATTCTTTATTGTTGAGCCTCAGAATAGACAGTGAAAATTTTCTTGTGTTTTTCCCTGGGTAGCTTTGTCTTTCCCAGTGTCCATAATTGCCACTTTTCTATTATTTATAACTAAGTACGTCTTTGCAGGCTTTCACATGGTAAAATGCATTAAAATAACCTGTCAGTTAAATGTTTCCCAGGGAACATCTCTCTTTGAGGCCTCATCCTTTTGCTGTCTTCTGCCTTAGTTTTCATTCTGGAGCTTGTGTGCTGTATCCCGTCATTCCTGGATTTAATATCTTGATCTTGTGTCTCACTTTGTTGATGTTGCCTCTTGAAATTTGAGACATAGGAATTGACTTTCTGAAATGTTTATTTTTTAAATGTCTTAGCCATACCCTTGAAAAATGATTTATCTGAGTACAGGATTCTAGGTTAGAAATAATTTTTCTTTTGGATTTTAAAGACATGGTTTGGTGATCTTCTCAGTTTCAGTGTTGTTCAAGTGGGACATCTAATGCCATTTTGATTGTAAACCCCCTCCCTCAGTTTTTATGGGAGATGGAACCCTAGCCAGCTATGTCTCACGCATGCCAGCATTCTGCCACTGAGCTATACCCCTGCCCTGTTACTGTTTTTTTGTGATTTCTCTTTTTCCCCTAGCTTTTCTGTGTCCTTGGTATTTTGATTTTGTAGTGGGGTGTTTTTGGGTACTTTTTTTAAAAAAAAAAATAGCGTCTTGATGTCTAGTTCAAGGTGGCCTTGAACTCACTGTGTAGCCCAGGCAGGCCTTGAATTTGTGGTGATCCTCCTGCCTCCGCCTCCTGAGTGCTGAGATTACAGGTGTATGCAACCTTTTCCAGCATGGGTACTTTTGTTCAGGCCCTTTTCATTCATAATTTTAAACATCTGATAGGTTCTCGCTGTATGAGAATTAATTTCTCTTTTTCCTTTCTTTCCTACTACCTTTATTCCTTCTTCACTCCACCTCTCTTCCTTTTCCTTTTTTGTTTTGTTCGCTTGGATACTGGTATTGAGCCCAGGGTTTTGTGCGTGCTAAGCGTGTGCTTGTGTTGTGCCACCCAGCTGCATCCACAGCTCCTCTTGTATGCTGATTGATAACCTCTTTGCCTGTATTGTCTTTTCTTGTCATACAACTTCCTATGACTAGGTAATTGATCTGCCAATTTTTTCCCGTGTTTTTTGTTTTATGGTTTCTTTTGCTTTATCATCTGATTTTCCAGTAAATATAGCATGTATGTTAAAATTGTAGTTTCTAAGAGCTGTTTGTTCTCTTGGTTTATGTTTGTTTGATTTGCTTAGTTCTGAGACTACTGATTGTAGTATTTGTTGTTGTTGTTGTTGTTGTTGTTGTTTTATTGTATTTTTAAAATTCTCTGCTTCCAGCATTGTACATAGATTCCTTTCCCTTCATGTTCCCACCTCCACACCTGCTGTCTTTCATTTTGGTGGTTTTCCTCAAATTTCTGATATTGGCTATCCATTCATGTTTAAACTCCCTGAAAGCTCATTAGATGGTCTGTGCTTGCTTACCAACTGGTAGACTGTTATAGGGTTGTTGGTGTTTACCTGGATTTTTGTGGAATACCTGAAAATGGCAGGATTTTGGGAGGTGTTTTCTTGAGTCATTAAATTATTCCAGAGAAGAATCCGCCAAGCTCCTCCCTGGTTGATAAAAGTCTAGTGTCAAGCTGTTTTGTTTTGTTTTGTTTTCAAGAAAAAGTGTTGTTCTGTAGTCCAGGTGACCTTGAACTTCCTATAGAGTGTCAATTTTTTCTGCTACAATCATAATTTGTATTTAAAATTTCTGTGCTAACAAGAAAGGAAGACTCTTGGTGAGTTGAACAATGCAGCTGTAGCTGGGAATGCATGGGATTTCCAGAACTCTACAGTGAGCAATCAGGAGAGAGCATGGGAGCCATACCAGGGGGCCGGATCTGTCTTCCTGGTTCATTATCATTTTAGTCCACTTTCATCTGTTATAAGTGCTTAAAGCACTATTTATTTTTGTTTTTTCCTGAATGTGAAAAATGGCTTTCTTAGCATTCTGGAGAAGGGAAAATGTTTTAAGGTTGATGTTCTAACTTAAACATGTGGATATCAGTTATCTCACATTATAGTAAGACACTTTAACCTAGATACATACAAAGTAAATTAATATGCTGTAACTGAAACTTGCTTAGTGAACCAATTCAAGCCTTTGTTTAGGATAAGATGAAATTGAAATTTAAGTGCTTTATCTTTAAACTGTGCCTTCATGTATTTGCATGGGGTAAGCAGTTATAGCAGTATGCAAATCTGGTACATCTGAGTCTAAAAATAGTTTTGAAATGGTAGCTTGTAATTCTCTGAGCATTCATTGATTTAGCTTCAAATAACATGGACAGCCAGGTAGATGGAGCAGTGAAGTATAACACTGTGACCTTCCCTTGCAGTGGGTAATTCCAGAAATGATTGGCCATTCTGTTGTCACTGTATTGATGCTTGTTTCATTGCACTGGTTCATCTTCCTTCTCAATTTACCTGTTGCCACTTGGAATATATATCGGTGAGTATTCTTTTTTTTTACTGGTTTGAGTTAGAACAGATTTAACAGCTTTCTCTCCACAAAAGTATGTGTCAGTAATAAAGAACAGCCAAATGCCTTATTAAATCAAGGTAAGTATTTCTTTGCTTTGATATATTAGGCAAAAATCAGTCTGTATGGCTAAGTCTTGTGGTAAGGCACAAATTTACATGCATAAATTTATAAAATATTGTTCAATTGTGTTGTCTAAAGTCTTGAGTTTTATTTTTTTTGTCTTGAGTATCATTTTCCTTTAAGAATAGTCAAAAGCCTGATAATAATCTTTGTTTATACCTGAAGTTGTTGGGGTTTTTTTGTTTGTTTGTTTTTGTTTTTGTACTAGGGATCAAACTCGGGACCTTGTGCTTGAGAGGCAGGCAGCAGTACCATGAGTTAAATCTCTACCTGAAGGTTTTGTTTTTTGAGACAGGATCTCACTATATAGTCCAGGCTCACCTTAAATTCACAAAGAAGCCCAGGCTGGCTTTAAACTCATGGCAGTCTTCCCCGGAGTGCTGGGATCGCAGAAGTATTCCACTATGCCCAGCTCTATACTTGTTTTATTTTTTTAATTGTAAAATTTTTTTTTTTGGTATCAGGGATTGAACTGGGGTCCTTGCACTTGTAAGGCAGGCGGAAGCACCATTGAGCTAAATCCCTGGCCCTCTATACTTGTTTTATTTGTTTGTTTGTTTTTTGGTACCAGGGATCGAACTTGGGACCTTGCACTTGCGAGGCAGGCAGTGGAACTACTGAGCTAAATCCCCGGCCCTCTATACTTGTTTTAAATTAGAGTGTACTGTACTTAAAATATCCCGAAGATTGTACAAGCACACACTTGTAATCCCAGCATTCAGAAGGCTAATGCAGGGTGATCACTGTTAATTCAAGGCCAGCCTGGACGACATAGCAAAACCCTGTCTCAAAAACAACAAAATACTGTATTCCAAAGAAAATTACATTTTAAAGCCTGTAAATTAGGTAACTTGCCATATATTTTGACTTTGTAAATTTAGAATGTTTGATTAAAAACAGTACCATGGAAACATTAAGTATAATTTTATTGAACTATAATACGTAGCATATTTTCCTGTGAAGAACTGGAATAATCTTGACAAGCTTGGAATTTTGATGTTAGTTGGTTGCTGCTTTATTGTATTTTTAGGCTTTATTTTTGTTAGGGAATTGATCATGTTAAAGTATGCTGTGACGCCCCTCACAGGCTGCATTCTCCTGGTACATCTTGGCTCCTAAAATGACCTCATGCCCTTATCTCTGGTTCCCCCCACCCCCAAGGCCACAGTGGTCCAGGAAAGTTGAAACCTGTGTCTGCAGGACTGGGCCCATAAAAGCAATCTGGCCTGTGATAGGTTAAAAGTAGCTCACTCCTCATAAATAAGCAATAGCCCACCCCCAAACTGATAAAAGGACCTTCCTTTCTTTGTTCTCTCTCTCCTTCTGCTTCTTCCTCCTCCTCTGTCTCTCTCTCTCTCTCTCTCTCTCTCTCTCTCTGCCTTCCTGCCTCCTGCTCGCCTTCCTACAATAAAGATCTCCTGCTGGACCTCTCGGTGCGTGAGTGACCTAATTGGGAAGGGGCACCCGAAAGGGCACGCGAACCCCCTTTCAATTTTAATAGTGTATCTCTTTTTTGGGGGGGTTAAAACCATTCACTGGCCGACTTGTAAGCATGGTGTTACAGAGTACAGTTAGAATAAAAGGAACAAAGAAAAAAGTACAGGAAATGGAGTAAAATAAGGAGCATAAACGGGCAGTGGAAGGCAATGGTGAGGGGAGGACAGCCTTGCCAGGGTCAGATAGCCCCTGAGCAGGGAGAGCTTTCCATCCTTGCTCTCTTCCAGAGGGCAGGTCCCTGGGTAAAGGCTGTTAGGTCTCTTACTGCTTTGCCAGGATCTGCTGTGGACACTGACACCCCATCTGAGCCCTCACGCTGCTGAGAGCCGGTCCCAAGGGATTCAGCGTGGCCATTTCTCTCTGGACTGGTCACTAAAGGACAGATTTGGGAGTGAGAATGGGGACTGGAACCGATGGGTCTGTGGATGTTACCGATGTCCCACACCACACCCTCCGATGTCCCACACCACACCCTCCGGCATCTTTGTTAGAAATGCCAGGAGAGCGCCCCCCACAGTGGCTTCCAAGTGTGAAGTCGCATTTCAGTGTGAGTTCAGTTTCCGTTGCTGTGATGATTGAGTATCTTCTAATGTGTTCATTAGCAATTCTTTTATCTTTTTGCTTTTTTTTTTTTTTTTTAGTAGCAAAATATTTATTGGTACACTTTAGGTTGTCATAATGATAACACTCATCGTAGGGAACTTGCTTTATGTTTTTATTATTATTATTTTTTGGTGCTGGGAATCGAACTTGGGACCTTGGCGCTTATGAGGCAGGTGGCGGAACCACTGAGCTACATCCCTGGTCCTATATGTTTTTGAACAGCCAAGTTGACATGAAAATAATGCTTTGGAAAGATTTCTCTGGAGCCACTGTGTACTGTCAGTGAAGAAGAACCAGCAAGGAGGGAAACCAGTTCAGAAAACGGGGCAGAAATAGAACAATGTTGTGATTGTGGGGAAAGGGACAACTCTGAAAATAGTGGTGGGAAAAGAACTGGACAGCACTTTAGACTGTGCATAATGAGAAGAATGGTATAAGAAGTTTTTAAGGACCACCAAAAAATGGTGAAACTTTTCTTAGATAACCTAGGAATTAGTAAACAGTAATACTTTTGAGGCTATTTGGAGATGTTATCTGGATATTCAAGTGTAACTGCCCTCTATTTAGGTATAGGTGGGACAGTAGGATTTTGCAGAGAATTTAAAGACTTGTGAAATTCAGAGAAGCCTTTGGATTTCATAGAAATGATAGTTGGGAAACAGAGTGTGTGGTAAGAGTGAGGAAGCCTGGGTTGTACTAGGAGAACTGTGACAGGAGAGCTGCAGGCAGCTGTAAACTGGGTTTGATACAAGGTGTGCAAGGGACACCCTTAGTCTAGGTATTGAAGCCCAGACACTCAGTCTAACCCATTCTCTCAAAGTATCCCAAATTCCTAATCTCCAGAGAGAAGTTTCTGAGAATTTGATAAACTGATTATTTTTTGGTTTTTTTTGTGTTTTGAGACAGGGTCTTGCCGTGACTTTCAGGCTGGCCTTGAACTCACTCACTATGTAGCCCAGGCTGGCCTCAAACTTGGGGTGATTCTCCTGCCTCAGTCTTTCAACTGCTAGGATCATACCATGCGCCGTCACACATGGCTTGTGCTTGGTTTTGGAACTTCCTGTAATTGAATGGAAAAAGGGTTTGGGATGACTGGTTTGGTAGGTTTCTACAGATGATGAGTAAAGGTCTCAGTGCACAAGATACCCTTCTCTGGAATGTTGCTGTATTTTTCTCACAGTGTAGAAAATCATACCAAATTAGCAATATTGGAACCTGCAAAGGAAAAGTAATGGTAGTCTGTGACATTATATTACTGTCTATATTTGGTATGAATTTAAGGCTGGTGTCATTAAGGCTGCTCATATTTAAAGGTTGATTATCGTTGGTTACTTACTTTGCTATTGATGTGATTTTTCTCCTAATGTGTGTTTCCATTATTAGGTTCATTATGGTGCCAAGTGGCAACATGGGTGTGTTTGACCCAACAGAAATACACAATCGAGGGCAGCTGAAGTCACACATGAAAGAAGCCATGATCAAACTTGGTTTCCACTTGCTCTGTTTTTTCATGTATCTTTATAGGTAAGTTTAAAGTTCTCCTGCTGTCATCAATCCTATGACTGCCTTTGATACGGTGAGGTATTGTTTTACTCTAGGGTTTAGGCTAACATAGAGTTTTGGGGGTTTATATGAATTCTAGTGGCTGTAGTTTTGTCACGTATTCCATTGAATCAACATCTGTCTGACCTACAGTAGAGTTACTCTGTGGCATCCTGGTTATTCCTTAGCTGCTGAGGCTTCCAGCATATTTAAAACTGTCTTGGCTAGTCTTTTCCTGAGTTCTCAATTGTTAAATTTAAAGCAGTGGGATAAGGGGCAGTGATGGAGCATGAGCTTAGTATGTGCAAGGTCCTGGGTTTAATCCTTAGCTTAAGTAAATGAGGGATAAATGTAAAGAATAGCTCTTTATAACAAAATAAAAATAGGCAACCTGCATAACCTGGTTGGCCTGAGTGGCAGCATTCTTAACTACATCTTTCCCTTTTTATGTCTTTCCTTTCTTTCTTCCCTCAGGGGCAGTGATGGAGCATGAGCTTAGTATGTGCAAGGTCCTGGGTTTAATCCTTAGCTTAAGTAAATGAGGGATAAATGTAAAGAATAGCTCTTTATAACAAAATAAAAATAGGCAACCTGCATAACCTGGTTGGCCTGAGTGGCAGCATTCGTAACTACATCTTTCCCTTTTTATGTCTTTCCTTTCTTTCTTCCCTCTTTTTTTTTTTTTTTCGTTTTTTTGAGACAGGGTCTCATTATGTAGTTGAGACTGACCTGGAACTCACTATGTAGCCCAGGTTGGTTTTGAACTTGGCAGCAATCCTTCTGCCTCAGCCTCCCAAGTGCTGGGGTTGCAGGCGTGTGCCACCACACCCAGCCTTCCCTCTGGTCATTTTCAGTCATACTGTTATTACCTTACCTGTTAATGTATTTCATAGTTCTAGTCAGGATGAAAGTGTATAAGGTACTCTCAGAAGATGACCTTGTAGTACTTTTAGCTTCTGGTTGCTGTTGTTAAAAATGATTTTATTACTGAAATATCAGCTTTTATTGCAGGGACTTTACGCTGTTCCTCTGTGTATCTGTTGCTTGCCATAGCTGGCATGTTACCTTGCACACAGCAGACATCAAGGCTTTGAAATGGAATTAGCTTTGAAAACAGTGCTTATCTTCTTTACAGAATGGTGGAGTCTCTGCCCTTTATTTTTGATTAGGTGCTAGCATTGTAGGATCTGGGCTCTTCCACTTCTGTGTTACTTGGGGCACGTTTTCTTCTCTTCTTCCTTAGTTTATTAGTACATATTGGCAGTACATGATAGTTGTATTTCTTTTGGGACACTGGTCCACGTGAGTGTCCTGTCATGGTAATGTTCGACCCCTGTGTGTCCCACCCCTCTGTCTGGGCTCCCAGTCCCCATCTCCAAATGTCTCCCTCCCTGTTCCACACCATCCCCTTTCTGGGTTACTCACAAGAGAAGCCTACAATACTTAACTCTGTCTGACTCATTTTACGTAATATTATGGTCTCCAGTGACACACTGTGATTTCCTGTTTCCTTGTGGCTGAATCTACTTTTCCGTTATGTATGTACATAGACCACATTTTCTTTACCCATTCATTCACTGATGGGCATCAAGGCTGTTTCCAGAGCTTAACTTTGTGAATCGCACTGCTATAAATGTGGGTGTGTACCCATAGTCCGACATCTTTAACTCTTTCAGGAATATACCCTGGGAAGATTAGATGGGTTAAATGAACTTTTAAGACACTTTTCTTTTCTTTGGTACTGGGGATCGAACCTCGGGTCCTTACACTTGCGAGACAGGTGTCGGAAACACTTAGCTAAATCCTAATGAATTTTTATTTTTAGTTTAGTGTTTTTTTTTAGTTAAACAGGGTCTTGCTCTGTAACCCAGGCTGGCCTCGTACTCATGGCGATCCTCCTGCCTCAGTCTCCTGAGTGCTGGGATTATAGGCATGTGCCATCACGTCTGTTTTATTTTTTTAAAGACTCTTCAAACTGATTTCCATAGTGGTTGTACTACTTCACATTCCCACTAACAGTGTAGAAGGGTTCCTTTTTCCCGTGCCTCGCAAGCATGTGTTGTTTTTTGTTTTTCGGAGGGGGTACTGGGGATGTAATTCAGGACCTTTTACTTGTGAGGCAGCAGCAGCGGCACCACTGAGCTAAATCTCCGGCCCTGTTTTTTGTTCTTGATAGCCTTTCTGACTGAAGTAAGATAGAATCTCAAGAGTTGTTGCATTTTCCTTATGGCTAAAGATGACTAATATTTTTTTTCACGTACTTACTGGCATACGTACTTCTTTTCAGAAGCATCTATTCAGTTTATTTGCCCATTGTTTTGATTGGGTTATTTTGTTTAGGGGGTTGTTGAGTTCTTTGTATATTCTAGGCACTGGACCTCTCAGAATGCATAACTTTATCCCTTTTCATAGGTTGTCTCTTTTTTTTTTTTTTTTTTTTTTTTTT